AATCCACGTCACTCAGCAAGGAGGTGGGGTGATGCTACTGCAAAAGCTTACCCTCCACATCCACTGTTGTAAATGGAAGGATTGAACTAAATCTTGGACTCTTTGAGGTGAAAGAGATAGGAGCAGTTGTCTCAGTTAGCCTTCTGTCTCTCTTATCGCTCCCAACATGACCCTTTGGAGCCGTACAAAAGAAGCCTGCTCCATAGTCAATAGGTAGCTCTATAGCTATTCGAAAATAGCTATCAGAGTGCCCCATTCTTCTCTTTGCCGACTTAGAGTTCCCTGGTATTTTGTATGAGTGGATCTTTATTACCTTTAGAAACCTTTGGAAGTCCTCCAGATAATCAGTGATCAATGTGCCTCCCTTTTTTTTTTTTTGAGACAGGGTCTTCTGCTGTCACCCAGGCTGGAGTGCAGTGGTGCAACTTTGACTCACTGCAGCCTCCACCTCAGCTCAAGCCATCCTCCCACTGAAGCCTCTCAAGTTGCTGGGACTACAGGCGTGTGTCACCACACCCAGATAATTTTTAAAATATTTTTTGTAGAGATGGGGTTTCACCATGTTGACCAGACTGGTCTCAAACTCAGGCCTCAAGTGATCCGCCCGCCTCAGCCTCCCAAAGTGCTAGAATTACAGGCATGAGCCACTGAGCCCAGCTAGTGTGCTTTTTGTTTTGTTTTGTTTTTTGAGACGCGTCTCGCTCTGTTGCCCAGGCTGGAGTGCAGTGGCACGATCTCGGCTCACTGCAAGCTCCACCTCCCGGGTTCACACCATTCTCCTGCCTCAGCCTCCCGAGTAGCTGGGACTACAGGCGCCCGCCACCACGCCAGGCTAATTTTTTTTTTTTTTTTTTTTTTTTTTTTGTAGAGACGGGGTTTCACTGTGTTAGCCAGGATAGTCTCGATTTCCTGACCTCGTGAACCGCCCGCCTCGGCCTCCCAAAGTGCTGGGATTACAGATGTGAGCCACCATGCGTGGCTGCTAGTGTGCTTTTATTCACTTAGTCATCCATTTATTTATTCCCTCCATCCCAATAATTTTCACTAGATTATAAGCCGTGGTCGTTAAAAGCACAGGTTTTGCAGTCATGCAGACCTGACTTTGTCAAGTTACTGACTTTTTCTAGGAGCTGGCCTCTATAAAATGGAGTTTTTAACACCCACACCCACAAATCTTTTGTGACTCTGGAGTGCTTATAAAGAATTTATGCTGGCTGGGTGCAGTGGCTCATGCCTGTAATCCCAGCACTTTGGGAGTCCAAAGCAGGAGGGTCCCTTGAGCCCAGAAAGCCATGGTTGTAGGGAGCTATGACTGTGCCACTTTACCCAGCCTGGATGGGCAGATTGCTTGAGCTCAGGAGTTCAAGACCAGCCTGGGCAACATGGTGAAGCCCCATCTCTATCAAAAATACAAAAACAATTAGCTGGGCATGGTAGTGCACGCCTATAGTCCCAGCTACCTGGGAAGCTGAGATGGGAGGATCGCCTGAGCCCAGGCGGTCAAGGCTGTAGTGAGCTGAGCAAGACCCTATCTAAAAAAGAACTTATGCTAGGTTCTGGTACACAGAAAGTACTCAGTTGATGAAGGCTAAATGTCCTGGGTAAGTTAGATTGTTAGAACACACCGGCATCATCTTGTTCCTAGTATTAAGAGGGTGGGGGAATATAAGATTGAAATTTGTTGTCTGTTTCCTAGAACCATGGTTAGAAAGAGGCTTTAAAGTGATTAGGAATAGCTTCCTTGCAGCTTCCATTTTTATTCCTTCACAGAGGTTTATTTGGAAGCCTCGATTTTATTGAACAGTGCTGTTAGTTTTGACAGGCATATTCTGTAGGATTTGAAATTGTTAAAAACTTGAACGATAGAAATGGATGAATGTGATTTAAGTGCAGATGCTCTTTGGTTATTCAGATTGTATAGCTAACCTTTTAAACTCTAAATATAAAAACTTTTCGACTTTTAACATGTTAAACTTTAAAAAAATATGAAATATTTTAAGGGGAGAGAGCATTGTTTGAATCATTGTTATCTGGTTGCAACAATGTGTGAAATAGAAGCACTCAGCCCCTCTTCCCCACCCCACCCCCCACCCCAAGACAGAGTCTTGCTCTGTCGCCCAGGCTGGAGTGCAATGGCACAATCTCAGTTCACTGCAACCCCTACCTCCTGGGTTCAAGTGATTCTCCTGCCTCAGCCTCCTGCGTAGCTGGGATTACAGGCACTTGCCATCATGCCCGGCTAATTTTTGTGTTTTTGTAGAGATAGGGTTTCACCATGTTGGCCAGGCTGCTCTCAAACTCCTGATCTCAGGTGATCCACCCGCCTCATCCTCCCAAAGTGCTGGGATTACAGGCGTGAGCCACCATGCCCGGCCAGCCCTCTTATTTATTTATTATTTTGAGACAGGGTCTCACTTTGTCACCAAGGCTGGAGTGCAGTGGCACGATCTCAGCTCACTACAGCCTTGACCTCCTGGGCTCAGGCGATCCTCCCATCTCAGCTTCCCAGGTAGCTGGGACTATAGGCGTGCACTACCATGCCCAGCTAATTGTTTTTGTATTTTTGATAGAGATGGGGCTTCACCATGTTGCCCAGGCTGGTCTTGAACTCCTGAGCTCAAGCAATCTGCCCACCTCAGCCTCCCATAGTGCTAGGATTACAGGCATTAGCCACCATGCCCAGCCTTAAATTCTTTATGTTATACTTCATATAAGTAAAAGATGCTAGACAGACAGTATAGACTGGCTAAATTATTTCTTGTAAATGTATATCATATATCATTAATTGACTTTTCCTTACTTCTTTGGTAAAAAAAAGTCTGAAATCAGAGCCTGTTTGCTTCAGTCTATAAGGGGAGCAAGCAGCAGCCATTCCCCCCAACCTAGGAGGCTATGCCACCACTTTGTGAGAGGTGGGTATCTCACAGTGAGTGGGGACAGGCTTTATGGAGTGCATGGTTCTTCCCTAGGACCCCAGAATCCATTCACATTATAGCAGTCTCCATACTGAGTCAAGGAGCAGGCTGAATGAAGATTGGATTCTCATTGCCTTTGGTTTGTCATTTGAAGTAATCTCACCCAGCAGCCCAGAAATGGAATGGACTTGCTCTTTCCTTGTGTACGTTATATTCTGCTCTATTCTTTTTTATTTTTTTCTTGCTACTTGTTTGCACAGGAAGTTCTCAGAGAATCTCAGACTAAACAGGAAGTGATTTTTTTCCTATATAGAGGGGTACTAGTAGTAATGAAGATGGGCAGGAGAAGGAGAGGGAATAGGTGACCTGTGGCCTGGCAGCTTGTTGTTTTCTTCCGTGGATTTTATGTAAAATCCCTAAATAATTTAGTTTTATGGGCTGTGCACATTTCTGAGTAAATCTGCTTTTCTAAATTGGTTTCATCAACTGGAAAATGAAACTGAATTGCTGGAGATACACCTGGGTCTAATTTACCGTGATCCTATTTGGTTACTTTTCTCTTTTTAGTAGATATTTTAACAAAAGGCCAAAATTTCAAGTGTATTTCTTTGGCTTTAGGAAATTTATCATTTGTTTAGAGTAATTTTTTCTCCATTTAAGGTTCAAAAGAAAAAGATTGAATACTTTTGAAGCAGAGTATCTCAGTATTAATCATGTTAATGAGTATAGGCTTTGGAGACAAATCTTCCTGAATCTGAATCCAAGCAGTTACTTAGTTGTGTCATTTAGGCATGTGAGACATTTTTTCCTTGGTAAGATGGAGTGTCATCAGGTTTAAAAGAAATAATATTTGGCAGGCTGGGCAACATAGTGAGACCCCCATCTCTACAGAAAATTTAAAAATTAGCCTGGGTACATGCCTGTGGTCCCAGCTTTGGGATGCTGAGGTAGGAAGATCGCTTGAGCTCAGGAGGTCCAGGCTGCAGTGAGCTGTGATTGTGCCGCTGCACTCCAGCCTGAGCAACACAGGGAGACCCTGTCTCAAAATAATAATAATAATAATAATAATAATAATAATAATAATATTTGGAACTTACTCTGTGCATAGTAAGTTCTCAAGTGGTTGCTGTTGCTGCTGCTGCTGCTAGTACTTCTTGAAGAAGGTGACTGGGGAAAAAATAGACAAAAAAAATACTTTGTCTTGTTTGATTAGTTGACTTTACCTTTTCCTAATATGGATGCAACTGAGAATTGACCCCAAGCTAATGTATCAAGGGACGTTCTCATGTGGGGCTATCAGCCCTAGCAGAATGCCTGCTGTCTTTTCTAGAAAGAGGAAACTATCTGTTTTCCATTTCATTTTTTTTTAAACGATTTTAGCTATCTTTGAGTATGTAACATCTATTATCGTTGTAGGGTGTTTGGAAAACTTCCTGTTTACTCCAGAGCATCCCTGGTAGAGGATGTAGATAATTATCGTATTGTTATTTTATTACATAAACATGGCCTGCTTATTATAAACATCTTTGTTCTAATAATGTGGTCTCATACTCAAGGTGTGACTCTTTCTGGCATCTTACGTGGTATTCAGAGGCCAGAAGATAGAAAATTAAAATTAATGAAATGAGCCAAGCGAGTCTTTTTAATCCTTCTTGAAATTATTTTATTTTATTTATTTTTTGAGATGGAGTCTTACTCTGTCGCCCAGGCTGGAATACAGTGGCGCAATCTCGGCTTACCACAGTCTCCACCTCCTGGGTTCAAGCAATTCTCCTGCCTCAGCCTCCAGAGTAGCTGGGACTACAGGCGCCCGCCACCACGCCTGGTTAATTTTTGTATTTTTAGTAGAGATAAGTTTCAGCATGTTGGCCAGGCTGGTCTTGAACTCCTGACCTCAGATGATCCACCGGCCTCGGCCTCCCAATGTGCTGGGATTACAGGCGTGAGCCACCGCATCCAGCCACTTCTTGACATCTTTCTAGCAGTTTTTATACCACTGCTTCCCCTTTAGAAGCCTTACTGAAGGTTAAGTTACATGTTGATACTCACTTTGTTTTTGTGCTTCCTTTTCTCTTTCCTGGACAGAAACCAAAGCCCAAACCCCGGCCATCCATCACAAAGGCAACCTGGGAGAGTAACTATTTTGGGGTGCCTTTAACAACTGTCGTGACTCCAGAGAAGCCGATCCCCATTTTTATTGAAAGATGTATTGAGTACATTGAAGCCACAGGTAAGAGTATTACCTCATAGCAGTTTATAGCTTTCACTGTCTACAGAATGCTTACTGGAGGGCCAAGCCATCTGGAGATTCTGGAATCAGTTGTTGTTGAGTGTGAGATGCTCTTGGAGAAGGAGCTGAGCAGTCCCGACAGCTGTCAGATATGTGGATTCTCCATTTGTGTGCAGTTTTGAGGCTGTCGTTGGGCATTTATTAGGGCTTGGCCTACGAGGAGCCATTCTATGCTCAAGGTGGCAGCTGTGACTGCTTGGGCACTTTCTCTGTGCTCCCTCACCCACCAGAGCGTCAACACTCTGTCAGTTGCCTGCCCGCCTGTGTTCCCTGCAGGTCTGTGAGCTCCTTGAGGGTTTTGCTATCGTGTCCTCAGTACTATAGTGGATACATAATACTTTTGGTTTAGTAAAATGAATACAGCCCTTAGCATTCATCGGGTGCCTGAGACTCATGTATTGACAGGATTTTTTTCTGAGATAAGAAAATGATTAGGATGTTTGGAATATCTTCTGGTTATGCAGCTCCTCTGACAACTTGATGCTATCGCAAAGGTAGACTATCTTGGAAAATTTTTTTGCATTGTTCTTGAAATAACTAAGTTTTACTTGTGTTGAAACCATTTGCTTTATTCATTTGAGTTCTCATGTGTTCCTTTGACCTTCCAGTTTCACTAAGGTGGGTTCTTGAACATTAGGAGTTGGGCTCAGGAACACACGCTTAAACTGATTTGAAACTGAGGTAGGGATTACAGCCTTCCTATCTGTTCTTTCTAACTCTGATGTTATCTACAAGGGTATTAAGTATTGTGTGGTGCGGACAGCCTACTAGGCTCTGCTGGTAATTTCAGCAGCATCGTGTGAAGCTGAGTGACAGTGTTCATATTTATTTATGATGTTGTAAATCAGGGAAGATAGCTTTATTTATTATTTTATTTTTATTTTTATTTTTTATTTTTTGAAACAGAGTCTCACTCTGTTACCCGGGCTGGAGTGCAGCGACACAATCTCAGCTTACTGCAACCTCCGCCTCCCGGGTTCAAGCAATTCTCCTGCCTCAGCCTCCTGAGTAGCTGGGATTATAGGCGCCCACCATGACACCCAGCTAATTTTTGTATTTTTAGTAGAGACAAGTTCTCGCCATGTTGGCCAGGCTGTTCTTGAACTCCTGACCTCGTGATCCGCCCCCGCTCAGCCTGGCAAAGTGCTGGGATTACAGGTGTGAGCCACCGCTCCTGGCCTGAAGAAAGCTTTTAAGTTGAAGCCCACCAAAGACTTTGTAGTTATTTCCTAGGTTTTCTCTGTGGCACCCCAAGCTTGAATCTCAATAATAAGCACTTTGCATAATCATTACAGATCTATAGCTTTGTTTAGTCCATTCTGTACCCAAAGCAGTTTCTCAGTGTCCATCTTTTTTTTTTTTTTTTTCCTGCTGTAGACACAGGGGTCTCACTTATTACCCAGGCTAGTCTCACAATCCTAGCTTCAAGTGATCCTCCTACTTTGATCTCCTAAAGTTCTGAGATTACAGGCATGAGCTACCATGCCTGGGCTTCAGTGTCCATCTTTTTTGACACTCATTTTATATTAATTTCTTCCTTTATCTGTCTCTATAAAATGTTTGAAAGTTACAGGTGTGATATGCACCTTTACATTTATTTATTTATTTACTTATTTAGTTTTTTTAGATGGAGTCTCACTCTGTCACCCAGGCTGGAGTACAGTGGCATGATCTCAACTCACTGCAACCTCTGCCTCCCAGGTTCAAGCAATCCTCCCGCCTCAGCCTCCTGAGTAGCTAGGATTACAGGCATGCACCACCACACCTGGCTAATTTTTTTTGTGTTTTTAGTAGAGATGGAGTTTCACTATGTTGGTCAGGCTGGTCTCAAACTCCTGACCTCAAGTGATCCACCCGCCTTGGCCTCCCAAAGCGCTGTGATTACAGGTGTGAGTCATCGTGCCCACCCTGCACCTTTATTTTTAAATACTTCAATGGATATTTCCCAAAAACATTCTCTTATAGAACCACTGTGCATTTATCAAAATTAGGAAATCAACATTGATCTAGTACTCATCTGTCTGTAATCTAATCTATAGCCTTTCTCATTTCATCAGTTTTCCCACTAACTTCCTTTGTAGCAACAGACAAAACACTGTTTTGGTCCAGGACCTTATCCAGGACCATATGTTATATTTAGTGATCAAATCTGGCCAGGCACAGTGGCTCACAACTGTAGTCCCAGCACTTTGGGAGGCTGATGCAGGCAGACCGCGAGGTCAAGAGGTTGAGATCATCCAGGCCAACATGGTGAAACCCCGTCTCTACTAAAAATACAAAAACTTAGGCCAGAGGTGGGTGGATCACCTGAGGTCGGGAATTCCATACCAGCCTGACCAACATGGAGAAACCCAGTCTCTACTAAAAATACAAAATTAGCCAGGCTTGGTGGTGCATGCCTGTAATCCTAGCTACTCGGGAGGCTGAAGCAGGAGAATCGCTTGAACCCAGGAGGTGGAGGTTGTGGTGAGCCAAGATCGCACCATTGCACTCCAGCCTGGGCAACAAGAGCGAAGCTCCATCTCAAAAAAAAAAAAAAAAAAAAATTAGCTGGGCATGGTGGCACACACCTGTAGTCCCAGCTACTCGGGAAGCTGAGGCAGGAGGATTGGTTGAACCCAGGAGGCAGTGGTTGCAGTGAGCTGAGATCGTGCCAGTGTACTCTAGCCTGGCGACAGAGCTAGACTCCATCTCAAAAACAAAAACACAAAAAACAAAAATATCAATCAGTTCTTTTGTAGGGTGTTCCTCAGCTTGGCTTTGTTTTCCTTTTTTTTTTTTTTTTTTTTTTTTTTGTGTTTTTTGGTAGAGATGGTCTCAGACTCCTGAGCTCAAGCCATCCACACGCCTCGGCCTCCCAAAGTGCTGGGATTACAGGCGTGAGCCACCGTGCCCAGCCTTGGCTTTGTTTTCATTTTTTTTGGATATTTCATCATGATCAGGTTCTGGGTTTGCACTTCTGGCAGACATCACAGGGCAGCAGTGCCTTTGCTCTGTCCCCTCCACTTCATCTCTGCTGCCCACCATCACCCACCTTCTCAGTCCAGTCTATGGATATGACGATTTATCTGCTGAAAACCCATCCTTGCTTCTTTGTTGCCTACCAGATGCAGGCCACAATCATAATCCTCCTTCCCAGACTCAGGAACAGCAGGACTGTTACTATGCCATCGTCCCCTGCCCTCCTTCCCACTCTCCTTTTTTTTCCCTCTCCCCCTCCCTTCTTTCACCCGTTTCTTTCAGTTTTATCCTGCTTCAAGTATTAATTTTAAAATTATTCTACGAGAATGCAAACAATTTATCAGAAGGATGTGAACCAAGCAGAATTTCTTAGTATTTCTCTGCCTTAGGGCATTCCCCTTGTGTGGTTTAAAATTTGTCCCCTACTTCTCTTTGCCTCTGGAACTTATCCTTATTCTTCAAGAGGCTCCTACCCCTAATAGCACTTTGAATTTAACCTCCCTGGTAGTTCTTCTCAGCCAAATTTCACCTTCCTGAAAATGGGATTCTCTGTTCTCCTTGTCTCCCTAGAGCCGATATAGCATATACATTAATTGATTATTGTAAATTAGCCGGGCATGGTGGCACGCATCTGTGGTCCCAGCTACCCTGGAGGCTGAGGTGGGAGAATTGCTTGAGACCAAGAGTTCAAGGCTGCAAGTGAGCTGTGATCGTGCCACTGCACTCCAGCCTGGGCAACAGAGCAAGACCCTGTCTCTTAAAAAACAAAAGAGAGAGAGAAAGAGACAGGGTCTCGCTCTGTTGCCCAGGCTAGAGTGCAGTGGTGCAGTCATAGCTCACTTGCAGTCTCACCTTTCTGGCCTCAAGCCTCTTGAGTAACTGGGACTACAGGCACATGCCACCATGCCCAGCTAATTTTTGTATTTTTTGTAGAGACAAAGTCTCACTGTGTTGCCCAGGCAGGTTTCAAATGCCTAGCCTTAAACCATCTTCCCACCTTGGCCTCCCAAAGTGCTGGGATTATAAGCATGAACCACTGCATCCAGGCAGAGACCCTGTCTCTTTCAAAAAAAAAAAAAAAAAAAAAAGATTGATTGAATGAGTGGTTTTCAATCTGGAATACCTTAATTCCATTTTCGTCTTTCTTCTTCAAGAAAAAAATAACCATATATTTCCCCTTGTTGGCATTAGTTTGATTAGTTTGGCCTTTTTTTTTTTTTTTTTTTTTTTTTTTGAGACGGAGTCTCACTCTGTTGCCCAGGCTGGAGTGCAGTGGCACGATCTCCACTCACTGCAAGCTCCGCCACCTCCCAGGTTCAAGCCATTCTCCTGCCTCAGCCTCCCTAGAAGCTGGGACTACAGGCGCCCACCACCACGCCCAGCTAATTTTTTGCATTTTCAGTAGAGACGGGGTTTCACCATGTTAGCCAGGATGGTCTCGATCTCCTGACCTCGTGATCCACCCGCCTCGGCCTCCCAAAGTGCTGGGATTACAGGCGTGAGCCACTGCGCCCGGCCTAGTTTGTACTTTTATGAAATTTCAGAAGAAAAATTAAACCTGGTGTCTGTGAGCTTAGTGTGCATTGGAGGGGAGTCTTTGTGTACCCTTATTTCCTAAGAAAACTTTTTTCTCCCCTTTATAAAATTAAAGCACATTCATTGTAGAAATTGGACAAATGGCAAGAACTGTGAAGAGGAACTCAAAAGATTTGTGATCTGCTACTTAGTGAAAACCACCATTAATGGTTTGAGATGTTTCTTGTAGTCTTATTTCTCTGCATATGCACATATATTTATTTTTACATAATTCAGAGTATGAAGTAAGCTAGTGTTCAACTTTTTTTTAACATAGCCCTCTTAGATGAGGCAGAAGAGGCTGGGTACAGTGGCTCACACCTGTAATCCCAGCACTTTGGGAGTCCAAGGTGGGCGCTCACTTGAGGTCAGGGGTTCCAGACCAGCCTGACCAACATGGCAAA